GGTGTGTGTGTGTGTGTGTGTGTGTGTGTGTGTGTGTGTGTGTGTGTGTGTGTGTAACAAGATGGTCAAAATGTATTCAGTAACATTAAGTGATAAAACAGGATGGAAAATTGGTTTGTGTTGTTTTCAAAATAAACAAGAAAATTCCTCAGGTCTCTGTTGGGATTTTAAGTCCAGTCACAGAAGAGATACAAAGTATCTGTTGAACACAACTGCACAGTTACATAGTAAACATGGCCATGTCAGGATGGTGGGATTATGGGCGATTTCTGTGTTCTGCTCCTTTTATAAGGAAGAAAAGACCCCAATGCTAAGTTTTGATGGGAGTGACATGGGAAGCATGTCACTGGTGTGACACCTGTCCAGGTGTCCCTTTCTAGGATCTAGGCAGAGCATCCAGGTGGCACTCAGGGTAGGCCCTTCAGGGGCACCTGCCCTTCAGGACTGAGCAGAAGCGGAGATAGCATGCCTCCACCGACCTGTTGTTCTCTGGGCTGCAACCTAGGGTTGGGCAGGACAGGTTGAGCCTGGGGAGAGTGGCAGGATGGGTGTGACCCCTGTTTCTTCTGCACTTTGTGGTATTTTTACTATTTCCTTTGGGCACAGCCATCAGGCCTGGCAGCAGTAAGGAGTCGGCATTGGGTGAGAACCAGAGCAAACTGGTTGGGTTTTCATGCAAAACTGACAGCCAGCTGTCCCCAGACTGTGTCTGCTCATCTTCATCACCACCCTGTGCAGCAGGCTGTGCTTACAGGTGAGAGATTTCCATCCCAGCCCAGAGACCAGCCAGCCAGATAGGACAGTCATCCCATCATCCTGCTTCCTGCCTCCTGCCCTGGAGGCAGGAACAAACTCCACCAAGAGGACAAACTTCCTTTGTGTTGGAAGGATGTTGGCAGGCTCACATTGGGCTTGAGAATGGGGCAGTTCTGGGGAAGAGGAGAAACAATGTCTCCAGGGTCTAGAACAGTACTTGACACCTTGTGGGAATTCAATAATCAAATACATGGGAACATGTCCTATGCGCCAAATGGATCAAAAGGATAAAGTATCTTTGAAGCCAGTGGACTTGGAACTGAATTGTCCAGCTGGCCCCCTCCTCCAAGAAGTCTCTCCCTCCCCCACCACTGGCCACAACTATAAACAGTGATGATCTGCTTGCTATTCTCTCTCCTGCACCCTAGGCCATGGTCAGTATGTCCCTGCCTTACCTGCCTGGCCTTCTGGTGACAGGGATGGTCTTACCATTCATTCAATCCCAATGTCGGCCCAGGGTGGGTGCTCAGCACGAGCTTGTCTAATGCCCACCCTTACTTCAATTCTTGCTTCTGCCCTGAAGCAGCTCCCACCTCCAGTGTACTGAAAATGCCTAATGCGCCCACTGGGATGCAGGAATGGCTGTCTGGGTTGGTGAGATTTGCTCATCTAGGGCCCAGGCCTATGAGTTCCCGTGCTGCTCATATAGGCCCATCTCTGCTAAGTTCTTTCAGCATCAGGATGTCCTGATGTTCCCTTTCCTATGGCATCTCCAAGTTTGGCCACCACCATCAGTGAAGGACTCTTGGAAGCAGCCATACCTGGATCAGTCTTAGAAACCTACTTCCAACCTTGGTGTCCCCATGCTGGGCTCCTGCCCCTGGTGCTCCCACATTGGGTGGCTGATGTGAAAGAAAGCATATATTCCTCCCAGGGAATCTCTCACAGATGGTGGCCCTCTGTGTGTTCACTTAGCATCCCCAGACAAGTCAAACTCAGTTTCAGCCAGGGCCTGGCCTGGCCCAGAACACACAGCTCTAGTGATAGCAGCAAAGCTGGAGACGTGGCAGCGAGATCCTCACCACAGAAGGTTTATAGTCACTGTATCTCCCAGAGAGAAGGGACACTTGCTGACAGCAAGCTCACAGTTGGATGGGAAACCTGTCAGCTTTGGGGGGCTATGGGAGCCTCCAGTGTGTAATGAAAATCTTTTTTTGTTTTGTTTTGTTTTTTTTGAGACAGGTTTCTCTGTGTAGCCCTGGCTGTCCTGGAACTCAGAGGTCCACCTGCCTCTGCCTCCTGAGTACTAGGATTAAAGGTGTGCCTCACCACTGCCTGGCGTGCAGTGGAAATCTTAATTGGCTAGTATGAAAGCCCTTAGTTAATAGGTTTGTATGGGGATTGATGACTCTGTAAGTGTGGCTTTAAAAAACAAACCTATGCCAACAAGTGTCCCAGGTCAAGCTGCTGAACACTCTCTGAACAGGTGGTAGGGCTGCTGGAGACGCTCCAGGTGACCTGTAGGTGGGCAATGGTTAGGTAGAAGAAGTGGTATTTGGTAAGATGGGCTAGCTGGCGCTAAAGGGCTGAGATACAAGAGAGAGAGGGGGAGTTGAAAGGACAAGGAGTACCTGGGGCAGTTCCTGCATGGAGATTACAATGAAGACAGGCTTTTGGAGTATGTTTGTCCTGTGAGGCTGAGGTTCTATGTCCCCGGATTCAGCCACAGGCTGAGAATATTTGGAAAGACCTTGCACCCATACTGAGCACGCATAGACTTCTTTCTCATCCTTATTCCCCACACAATGCAATGCAACCACAATTTATATAGTATTTATACTATATTGGGTATCACAAATAATTCAGGGGTGGTTTAAAGTGTATGACAGGATGTTCATGAGCAGTAAGCAAATACTGTTGTATTTTCTATAAGGGACTTAAGCACCTA